ACCGAACTGCAAAGCTTCCATCTTGGGTTCCTTTGCGAGCTCGTCCTTCCTGCTTGCACTGTTCATAGCGCGTACAACGTTGTGCCGAAGCGCACATTGCGCGAGTACCTGCAAATGCATCAAGCGAAAAAATGCGAAAGCAAACAAACACACGAACACACAATTCACACGCAAATGCATTCGCACACGCATACTCGTACAAAACAGACGGCAGGATGTCGTGCAATGTAAATTTGCACCCAACATTTTCTTGCCCTGCACCAGAGGAACCAGCTAGCATGGAGGAGGCATTAGCTGGACCAGATAGGGACAAGTGGCTGGCTTCTAGGGATGCTGAGTACCAGAGTCTGCTGGAGAATAGGACATGGGATCTGGTGGTGCTGCTTGATGGGAAGAAAGCGATACAATGCAAGTGGGTGCTGAGGATCAAGACCGATGACAAGGGGCAGGTCACCATCTACAAGAGTAGGCTGGTGGCGAAGGGGTTTATGCAGAAGGAGAAGCAGGACTTCAACGAGATCTTTGCTCCCACTGCCAAACCCCCTACCCTCCGTGTCTTGTTGGCAGATGCAGCTGTTAGTGGGAAATTCATCATTCAGATGGATATTTCAACGGCATTCCTGAATGGGATTTTAGAGGAGGATGTGTACATGACGCAGCCGCCTGGGTATGAGGATGGTACGGGCAGGGTGTGCAAGCTCAACAAGTCCATCTACGGCTTGAAGCAGGCGCCACGCTGCTGGTACCAGAAGTTGGCAGCTGTTTTAGAGGAGATGGGATTCAGGACCAGCAGCTGTGATGAGAGCCTCTTTCTCAAGGGCGAGGGGGAGAAGCTGGTGCTGTTTCTGGTCTATGTGGACGACATTCTTCTCTTCAGCAGCAGCATGAAGGAGATCCAGAAAGTGCAGCAGCAACTGATGGAAAACTTCAAGTGCAAGAACTTGGGGAGTAAAAGTACTACCTCGGGATGCACGTGGAGAGGGATCCAGATCACAGGTGGTTGAAGCTGCACCAGGAGAAGTTTCATCAAGAGCTGGGGGAGAAGTATGGATTGAGAATGAGCGCAAGGTTGCAACTCCCTTGCCAGCAGAATTCAAGCTTGTGAAGGCTGCAGAGGATGAAGGGGTTGAAGCTGAAGAGCAGCAGCAATTTCAGTCCTTGGTGGGCAGCCTCTTGTACGCAGCAGTTCACACGAGGCCCGACATCTCTTTCTCGGTTGGGCAGCTGGCTAGGGTGGTGCAGAATCCATCAGAGGAGCAGGTGGATGCAGCTGAGCGTGTGGTGAAGTACCTGAACTCTCACCCAAGCATTGGAGTTCAATACTCCGCATCTGCACAGGTGAAGCAGAAAGGGGTGGAGGTGCTGAAAGAGAAGGGGGAGAGGCTGGAAAGGCAAGCTATTTCTCACTTGCTTTACCGATGCTACGTGGGCTTCTGAGAAACGATTCCTCATCTGTGGGAGGATACATCTGCGTAGTTGGGGGAGGACCTGTTAGTTGGAGGTCCAAGAAGCAGACGGAGACGGCACTCTCTTCCGTAGAATCAGAGTACATGGCGATGTTCCATGGGGTGAAGGGTGTGATTTGGCTGAGGAGGCTGTTAGAGGAGATTGGCCAGGAGCAGAAAAGTTGGTACGCCGCTGTTTTGTGATAGCAAGGGGGCTCTTGGGATGGCCAGAAACGCTGTGCTTCATGGGCTGAACAAGCACATGCGTATCAAGTGGCACTGGCTGCGTAAGGAGGTGAAGAGGGGGACGGTGCATCCGATCTACATCAAGACTCACCAGCAGCCAGCAGACTTTCTCACCAAGAGGCTTGCGGATGAGCCTCATTGGCGTTGTGTGCGCATGAGTGGAATGAGCATGAACTAGCATGGAATGACGGGGATGCAGCCGGCAGGCTGAGGGGGAGGGGTGTTTGGGTGCAAATGCACATTGCACGACATCCTGCCGTCTGTTTGTACGAGTATGCGTGTGCGAATGCATTTGTGTGTGAATGGTGTGTTCGTGTGTTTGTTTGCTTTCGCATTTTTTCGCTTGATGCATTTGCAGGTACTCGCGCAATGTGCGCTTCGACACAACATTGTATGCGCTATGAACAGTGCAAGCAGAAAGGACGAGCTCGCAAAGGAACCCAAGATGGAAGCTTTGCAGTTCGGTTGAGTTGATTGCGCAGATTCAGTTCTATCCAACTCGGAATTGTACTGTTTTGTTTGGTTAACTATAGTGTAGCAGGGAAGGCACTATAGGGGTACAATTTAGGTGAAGGTTGGATGTTGTTTGTCTGTATCTGCATGCTACAAGGCCAGGGGAAACCAGCGGAACCAGCATTTGGCTGGTTGGGCAAAGACAAAACAGGTTCTGTTTTTAGAACCTGAACCTGGTTGTTGTTTTCCCAGGTTGGAAAAACAGAACCAGAGGTTGTTTACCAACCTACCACCTGCTATTTTGTCCAGCCAGGTTGGTTCTGTTGCTTGGAATTATTTGGGATCATCCCTGGTTGTTCCCAGGTTGATTCCCAAGGTCCTTGCTAGCTAGAACTATTTAATCCTTCTCTGTTTGTACCTGAGAATAGTCAAATTGATTCAAGAGAATTCCTTCCTCGCTGGAATTTCGTTTCTGCGCTATTCGACGGCGGAATGCTACCCGAGTCAACGCTAGTATGCTAGCACTCCAACGCTAGGCAAACGCTGTCCGAGCCATAACTTAGTAATGGCAGAATTTTTCGCGAGGCAACTTGGCTCATTTTAAAGCTCTTGGAGCGAGCTTCGATATAGCGAATTCTCAGCTTAATCCGATCGACGGTCTGCACGGCACGCTGCGCGACGTTCAAGGTACTCTTGCTGTTTTGACTAAGTCCTTCTTGATCCCTCTCTCTACAAACTCGGACCCGAGGATAGGGGCTGGTCTTGTACCAGGCACCCAGGGACCCTTGGAGGTGACCCCGAGGAGAGGTTTTAAGTTTGGTTAAGTCCTAATAGCTTGAGTTTATTAGGCCCTTACACCAACACCATCCGGCCAGTAATGATACTTTTCTATTCCCGCTAACGTCTTATTGCTCCCAAAATGTCCCGCGTATGGTACGTCATGAAACTCCTCCAATAGGATCTGCCGTAGCGGGGCGTAATTCGGTACCCAAATCTTTCCTGAACCCTTCCTTACCGCTAAGTCTTTCTGTCACTGTAGCAGCTTCTGTTTCTCTGCTGTAGCGATCTCGCCGTCCACGGAGTACCCATGTTGGAATAGACCCTTGAGCAGAGGGTTCATCCCTTCGAGCTGGATGCCTGCTACATGACCTGGGCGGCTCAACGCGTCTGCTTTGTTGTGGAGCCCGGGTTTGTAGACGATGTCGTAGTGGAAGTGGGTCTCCAAGAAATCCACCCACCGCACCTGTCGTCGTGAAAGCGTCGGCTGCGACTTCAGGTACTTGAGGCTGCAGTGGTCTGTATAGACTGTGGTCTTGGCTCCCTCTAGGTAACACCTCCATGCCTTGAAGGCTACGACTATAGCTAAGGCTTCCTTGTTGTGAATGGGGTAGTTCAGTTCTGCTCCGTGCAGTTTCTTACTGAGGTAGGCGATAGGCTGTAAACCGTTCCCGTGATCCTGCATCAGTACTGCTCCGACTGCCTGGTCACTAGCGTCCGCTTCAACTACGTAGTCCTTCTCGGGGTCTGGTAGGATGAGTACTGGCGCTGTGGTCAGTGCTGTCTGTAGCTGTTCCATGGCTTGCTGATGAGGAGCACTCCATTTGAAGGGCGTGTCCTTTTTTAGTAGGTCTGCCAGTGGCGCTGCAATCTTAGCGTACTGCGGCACAAACCTGTTGTAGTAGTTGGCGAAGCCGAGGAACTGCTGCAACTCCTTCACGTTCTCTGGAACTTTCCACTTCTTGACGGCTTCGATTTTCCGCGGGTCCACGTGTACGCCCTCAGCACTCACCATGTGCCCGAGAAACTGCACCTTCTTCAGTGCGAAGTCGCTCTTCGACAGCTTCACGTAGAACTTATTCTTCCGCAGGATCTCGAACACCTTCCGCAGATGCTCCACGTGCTCCTTCATGTTCTTGGAGTAGATGAGAATGTCGTCCAGGTACACTACTACGCACTCGTCCAGCAGGGGCCGTAGGATATGGTTCATCTCCGCCTGGAACGTCGCTGGTGCGTTGCAGAGTCCGAACGGCATCACTAAGTACTCGTAGGAGCCGTATCGCGTACGGAACGCCGTCTTGTGGATCGAGTTGTCCGCCATCTTGATCTGCCAGTAACCCGACCGTAGGTCCAGCTTCGAGAAGACTGTTGCACCACGCAGTTGGTCCAGTAAGTCGTCGATGCGCCGAATGGGATATTTGTTTTTAACTGTCTGTTTGTTCAGTGCGCGGTAGTCGATGCACATCCGTAAACTGCCGTCTGGTTTCGGTGTGAAGAGAACTGGTGCACCGTAGGGAGAGGTGGATGGGCGGATCAGTTGTCTGTCCAGTAGATATTCGATCTGTTTCTTCATGTCTGTCAGTTCGGTCGGACTCAGTCGGTATGGTGCACGTGAGACGGGTTTCGCACCTGGTTCCTCCACGATCTCGTGCTCGTGGGTGCGTGCTGGAGGTACGCCTGCGGGTAGGTCGTCGGGCATTATGTCTTTGTACTGCTCCAAGACCTCCTTTACTGCTGCAGGTAGCTCCGAACTCGGCTTCTCCTCCTCTGCTGCTGCCATGACCAGTGCTAAGTAACCCGTGTTACTCTCGTTCACCGTCCGTTCGAACCGTGCCAGTGTCGTTTCAGGAACGTCCCCTGTATCCGTCCAGCTTCGCAGTGCTATCCGCTTCCCGTTGTTGTAGATGCACACTTTGCTGTTGACCCAATCGATCTCGGGGTTGAACCGCTTCAGGAAATCTCGCCCCAAGATGAAATCTAAACCCTTGATGTTCGTGATCGGCAACGTCGGCTTCCATCGTAACGCACCTATGTGCAGCTGCAGTGATGCTTCGCCGTGGATGGGAAGCTTCGTACCGTCCACCATCGTTGCTGAAAACCGGGTCTGTTCCGTCTTCTCTCCAATTTTCTCCAACGTCCCGCGGTCACACACCGAGTGGGACGCACCGCTGTCCACCAGTGCCTGGAGGCGTCACCCGTTGCAGATCACCTCGAGGAGTAGTGGCTGCTGCTGCTCCGAGTAGCCGTAGATGGTCTCGCTTATAGGATCATAGGGTACGTCGAATAGATCATCCCTAGGTCCTGCGCTCGAAGCTGCTGTTGCAATATCAGTCTTCAACTGAGTAGGGTTGGAAGGATTTATCCGAGGCCGATTCAGCTTCGTCTTGGCCTGGAACCTTCCCCTAAGCCGTTGCAGCTGTGTAGGCTTCTCCTGTGGGCAATGGGGAGCCTTAACACTGTGCTGCGGGGAGAGAATATTAACTCCTTGGAACGCACGACCCGTTTCAACGCTCCGGAGTGGTTTGCCCAACTTCTCAGGTACCTGAATAATCTTTAAGGGCTTTTTCTTAGCCTCTAAATCTCCCCTGAAGGCTTGAAAATCACGAGAATTAATGGGCAAGAAGGTGAGAGCTAGTTCAACGTGCTTGAAGAGATTTCTCGAGCCGCTGCTGTTGCAATCATGTCTCCACATGTCATGTTTTCTTACTCCAAACCTTGGCTCCTTCGCAGCTGACCAATCAGAAATCATTTTGGAGCCCCAGCAACCATCGCAAAACGACGCTCCGGAAGCTACGCAACCGACCACACCCGAAATTCCTCCTGAAACTGCGCCGGAAATTCCGCTGCTGGACCAGCCAGTCGACAAGGTTATCCCTTCTGACGTATCTGACGGAAATTCTTGTTGGGTGCAAATGCACATTGCACGACATCTTGCCGTCTGTTTGTACGAGTATGCGTGTGCGAATGCATTTGCGTGTGAATGGTGTGTTCGTGTGTTTTGTTTGCTTTCGCATTTTTCGCTTGATGCATTTGCAGGTACTCGCGCAATGTGCGCTTCGGCACAACATTGTATGCGCTATGAACAGTGCAAGCAGAAAGGACGAGCTCGCAAAGGAACCCAAGATGGAAGCTTTGCAGTTCGGTTGAGTTGATTGCGCAGATTCAGTTCTATCCAACTCGGAATTGTACTGTTTTGTTTGGTTAACTATAGTGTAGCAGGGAAGGCACTATAGGGGTACAATTTAGGTGAAGGTTGGATGTTGTTTGTCTGTATCTGCATGCTACAAGGCCAGGGGAAACCAGCGGAACCAGCATTTGGCTGGTTGGGCAAAGACAAAACAGGTTCTGTTTTTAGAACCTGAACCTGGTTGTTGTTTTCCCAGGTTGGAAAAACAGAACCAGAGGTTGTTTACCAACCTACCACCTGCTATTTTGTCCAGCCAGGTTGGTTCTGTTGCTTGGAATTATTTGGGATCATCCCTGGTTGTTCCCAGGTTGATTCCCAAGATCCTTGCTAGCTAGAACTATTTAATCCTTCTCTGTTTGTACCTGAATATAGTCAAATTGATTCAAGCGAATTCCTTCCTCGCTGGAATTTCGTTTCTGCGCTATTCGACGGCGGAATGCTACCCGAGTCAACGCTAGTATGCTAGCACTCCAACGCTAGGCAAACGCTGTCCGAGCCATAACTTAGTAATGGCAGAACTTTTCGCGAGGCAACTTGGCTCATTTTAAAGCTCTTGGAGCGAGCTTCGATATAGCGAATTCTCAGCTTAATCCGATCGACGGTCTGCACGGCACGCTGCGCGACGTTCAAGGTACTCTTGCTGTTTTGACTAAGTCCTTCTTGATCCCTCTCTCTACAAACTCGGACCCGAGGATAGGGGCTGGTCTTGTACCAGGCACCCAGGGACCCTTGGAGGTGACCCCGAGGAGAGGTTTTAAGTTTGATTAAGTCCTAATAGCTTGAGTTTATTAGGCCATTATACCAACAAGCTGGTATCAGAGCCGCGTTATAGTGATCCTCGTTATAGGTAGCTATGGCGGGCAACACCTCGGCGGGAGCTGGTGAATCTTTAGCCCAAGATCGTAGCGGCAGCCAAGATTCTGGTCTTTCAGCGCCAAGGGGAGCGCGAACAAACCAGGGCTCGCTTGTCAAGGAGGTGCTGAAGAATTTCACCGTCGAGAAGTTCAATGGTGAGGGCTATGATGATTGGGCCTGGAAAATGCAATTATATTTCCGTCAGATCGGTTTGCTGAAACTAATGATTGGGGAGGAGCCTAGACCGAGTGACCCCACGCTGCAGGAAGATTGGGACGAGCGCTCCTCGGCTGGCTACTATTTGATGTCGCAGAGTTTGGAGCTGAACCAGCGTCACCACGTCATGCACCTGCTGCCGGAGGTTGAATGCGGTCCGAAGGCGTGGACCGTGTTGAAGGAGCTGCACGCCCCGACCTCCGTTGTCGCAACGTTGATGCTGGAGAGGGAGCTGTCCGCGTTGCGCCTGAGCGAGGGAGAGCCGGTGCAACCAGTCCTGGACAAGATGCGCGACCTCTACGCGAAGTTGGCAACCGCGGGAATCACCTACCCGGAGCAGACCAAGTGCTTGAAGATGCTCTCGCTGCTGCCAGAATCGTGGCTTCAATTTACGAGCGGATTGAGCCTGCCGCAGAACCAGAGCTTGTGGACGCTGGAGTGGGTGCGGACGAAGATTCTGGAGGAGGATTTCCGTCGCCGCCAACTGAGGGGTGGAGACGACGGCAGCAGCGGCTACGGGATGCAAGGGAGCCGACGTGGCAGAGGACGTGGCTTCGGTGGTGCTGGACGCGGTGCAAAGAAGGACGACGACTCCAACGACCAACAAGGAGGTACCGGTTGGGGTCGCGGTGCGAAATCTGGACGTGGGGGCAAGTCGGGTGCTGGTGGCAAAATGAAAGGGAGTTGCTGGTATTGTGAGAAGGAAGGGCACCCCTGGTTTTTGTGCTATAAGAAACCCGATGGATGGACCCCCCAGAATCGTCACCAGGATGGCGGCGCGCGGAGGAACCAGAAAAACGGCGCCAACATGGTCGCTGATTCATCCGACAACAACCCGAAGGGCAACGGCGGTGCGGAGAAGAAGAAGGAGCGCACCGCGGGCCAATTCTTCCATGTGGGAGACAAGGGGGAGCAAGGAGACGCCTCTGCCAAAGTTGGAGCAGAGCTGCACCCCCTAGACTATTGGGTGTTGGACACAGGCGCTGCTTGGACGATGACGCCGCGCAAGGACCTGCTGGACGAAGTACGAGCTGCACCGATCAATGAAGTGTGCTCCGCCTCTGGACACATGTTGAAGGTGGCTGGTGCGGGACGAGCTGCGTTTAAGGGAGTGGATGGCAAGCCGGTGGTGCTGCACGACGTTCTCTTCGTCCCCGACCTGAAGGCCAACCTTATCTCCCTCCGTAAGCTTGGCAAGGCTGGGGTGAACACCAACACGGATGGGGCACGCACTTATAAGGGGAAGCTGGGCAATCGGGTGCTTTGGGATCTGCACGAGAGCAAGGACGTGTACAGATCTATGTGGCAGCTGCCGGCCCTGGCGTGGCATGGTGGGGGGCAGGCTGGAGAGGGGTCTGCATCCCAGGGGGAGTGCAATGCCGTTGGAGGGGTTGGTGTGAAAGTGTCGGCCAGATCTGGGGAGACAGATTGGGCAACGGCACACCGGCGCTTAGGGCATGTGGCAATGCCTTTGCTGAAGCAGCTGGAGAAGGATGGAGCCGTTAAGGGTCTGAAGCTGAACGGACAGCCACCCGATGACAACTGTGAAATCTGTTTGCTTTCAAAGTTCACCCGTTTCCCTTTCCATAGTGTGGCTGGCAGGAGCAAGAAGCCTTTGGAGCTGGTCCACATGGACTTGGTGGGGCCGCTGCCAGTGCAAGGGCACAAGGGGGAGCGGTATTTTCTTACAATTGTGGATGACTGGAGCAGGCTGATGTGGGCGTATCCGCTGAAGCAGAAGGACCACGCCGCCTCCACGATACGGGACGATTGGCTGTCATTCGTGGAGAAGCAGGCGGAGTGTGTAGTGAAGCGGATTAGGACAGACCGGGGTGGTGAGTTCCTTGGAGCTGAAATGACGGCCTGGCTCAAGAAGCAGGGCATCCAGAGAGAGCTGACCACGGCTTATACCCCACAGTCCAATGGTGTAGCAGAACGGGCAAACCGGACCATTCTGGAGACAGCTAGGGCGCTGCTCATAGAATCTGGGCTGAGCAATTCTATGTGGCCTCATGCTGTCCGGCACGCCACTGTCGCTAGGAACAGGGTGCTCACCAAGGTTGGGGATGACTCGTGGGTGCCGTTGGAGAGGTGGCTTGGGAGGAAGCCGCCGGTGGACATGCTGAGGGTGTTCGGTTGCATGGCAGTCGCCCACGTCCCCAAGACCTACCGCAGTAAGTTGGGGGCGAGTGCAATCTGGTGTGTGCATTTGGGGCTAGCTGCTGAGAGCAAGGGATGGCTGCTGTGGGAACCATCCAAGGGTGTGTTGTTTGACAGCAGGGATGTGAAATTCATTGAGGGCATGATGTATGGGAGCTGGGAGAAACAGCCGGAGGCAAGGGTGTCCCAGCAGATGGAGCAGATCACCATGCAGCTGGACCTGACTCCTAGTGTGTGGGAGGAGGGAGAGGAGGCAGCTGCTGGAAATGGTGATGGAGAGAAGGTACAGGAGGCATCTGCTGGTGGAGAAAATGGTGTGGAAACTGGCGGCAGCACTAGTGGAGCTGCTGGACCCGAGGGAGGAGAGAAGCAGCAGGGAAAAACTAAGAAGCCGAAGGGTGTCGTTATGAAGGGATGGGAGACACCCGTCTCCAGGCCAGGACGTACCCGTATGGCTACTAAGAAGCTGACTGCAGGAACTGATGCAGCAGAGCAGCAGCTAGGGACCGAAGAGGCATTGCTGATTCTACCTCATGGCTATGACCCGGATGAGGAGGATGAGCCTGCGTACTGTTTTCTTGCCCCTGCACCAGAGGAACCAGCTAGCATGGAGGAGGCATTAGCTGGACCAGATAGGGACAAGTGGCTGGCTTCTAGGGATGCTGAGTACCAGAGTCTGCTGGAGAATAGGACATGGGATCTGGTGGTGCTGCCTGATGGGAAGAAAGCGATACAATGCAAGTGGGTGCTGAGGATCAAGACCGATGACAAGGGGCAGGTCACCATCTACAAGAGTAGGCTGGTGGCGAAGGGGTTTATGCAGAAGGAGAAGCAGGACTTCAACGAGATCTTTGCTCCCACTGCCAAACCCCCTACCCTCCGTGTCTTGTTGGCAGATGCAGCTGTTAGTGGGAAATTCATCATTCAGATGGATATTTCAACGGCATTCCTGAATGAGATTTTAGAGGAGGATGTGTACATGACGCAGCCGCCTGGGTATGAGGATGGTACGGGCAGGGTGTGCAAGCTCAACAAGTCCATCTACGGCTTGAAGCAGGCGCCACGCTGCTGGTACCAGAAGTTGGCAGCTGTTTTAGAGGAGATGGGATTCAGGACCAGCAGCTGTGATGAGAGCCTCTTTCTCAAGGGCGAGGGGGAGAAGCTGGTGCTGTTTCTGGTCTATGTGGACGACATTCTTCTCTTCAGCAGCAGCATGAAGGAGATCCAGAAAGTGCAGCAGCAACTGATGGAAAACTTCAAGTGCAAGAACCTTG